GAAGTACACTGCTGAGGGGAACAGCGGGCGGGTCAGGAGAGGTCTGCTGCGCTAGGTAGTCACCTCCGGGGCAGGCGGCAGGGGGGAATCGAACTCATGCGGAAGTGGCTTTAGCTTCTCAATGCTGTGCTTTAATCCGCTGCGCCACCAGGGAGGCGGATAAAAATGCCTGCTATTTATTCCCATTTTGAGTCTACCATGTTGAAAAGAACATTCTAAGAATTTAGAACAAAACTGATACTATTTGCTTATTAATGTCAACATTGTATTAAGGTCTATTGAAGAATACCAAAGCAAAACATAAGGTAACCAGTTTTACAGTTTTTAAACATTTTTATATGTGTATAAACTGTTTCAATAAATTTGGAGGGCTTTAGTTTTACTAATGATTTCTTAAGCTAACCAAAAGAAGTGAAATGTTTGCTAAATGTTCATCACTAATTCTATTAAAATAAACTATTCTTGAAACATAATATTGCATAAGTGATTTAATATGTCTTTACTCCAAAAGAGGCGAGGAGAGAAAGCAAAAGGAAGAACTATTTAACAAAACTGTCCACTGTAGGTTAATGTTTTCATTAGTTCTGTTTAATAAAAATAGTAACTACTCTTCTATGTTTGACATATTTTAAAAATATCAATGTATCATTTAAAAGAGTACTGACTGAAATGATCTAAAAAAGATACTAACACTTAACCAAAGACTAAGCCATTCACATGTATTAAGTAGCAGAAGCTGATAGGAAAAAGAGTACTGACTGAAATGATCTAAAAAAGATACTAACACTTAACCAAAGACTAAGCCATTCACATGTATTAAGTAGCAGAAGCTGATAGGAAAAATTTGTTCTTTATTTCCTTAATCAAACCGACATCAATAATTTTGACTAAAAATATGATTTCTGTTATCAATACTTTCAAAGACTTCAAAAGATTGTAAACTTCAGCCTCTTCATTTGATCTCAGAGAAAAATTGGCGCATTAATAAAGTTTGCTTATAAAAATAAGATTACATAAAAAATGAGCCAAGAGTAAAGTCTATGATGACTAATCCAATAATTGTAAGGGATACGCTATACAAAAATTCCCTTTCTTTTGATGAAAATATTTTTTGTTCTAAAGAAAATATTTTTATGAGAAGGACTTAAAACAGTGTACTGAGTTGCAAGAAAGTATTATAAATATTTAAAGTATTCAGGTTAAAAAATCCCTTTAAATATTAATCTATTAGAACACCTTTTAAAAGACTTTAAAAATGTATTTATTATTGTCCCCAAGTTTATTTTTTAATAATAAAAATTTTATTGACTTTATTTTTTTTAATTGAGATGCCAGTTTACAACTGAAAAGAAAATCTTAATATTTGTTAAGTGCCTTGTATTTGAGGAGTTCTGAATAAGGCTTTGATAGGGGAAAGTGTGCAAGTGAACCAGAGGTAAATTCCTTTACTCAGGGAACTTCAGACAATATCTCAATCTAGATTAAGAGTAGGGATAAGATGAGCCCTTCTTAACTGCTCTTGTCCTCCATTTCCAGGTGCAATGGGATGGGCAACAGTTCATATACAGAATTTTAAGCACATGAATGTGAAGGCCATTTTGAAATTTGTTCTTGAGAGATTCCTGAATAGCAATTTCTAAAAGGGAAAAGATTTTTTAATTAGATTTTTTTGTCAAAAGTGCTATGAAATGTGTTTTGCAAATAAAAACAACTTTTTTTTGTTTCCTAATTTTCAGGTATTCTGACCAGTCACAAGTGCATATTAGACTACTGTTAGTATGTTATATATTTTAGAAGACAAATTTGATATTACTGTGAGGTGGAAGGAAAGCCTCCACTTGTTATTCAAATTATTTATATGTTGCTAGGAAATATTAGCAACTAGAGAAGTATTTAAAATAACATCTCAATAAAAATAACACCTTTTCTCTTATCATTTATAATTTAAGTCTAATGCAAATCTAGTTCTCTACTGTTTAGTGTTCACTCTGTAAAACTCTGTTAAGGTCTTTTTGGTACATAATAACAATATCCTTTCAATAGTATCAAAGGGGAAAATAGTATAGATTATGTTGATACTGCAAATACATTTCAAGATTCCTATTTTAAGGTCAAAGTCATTCTACACACTGAAAATATAATTTAAAATGAGAACATTTATCTTATAAACACAAGAAATTTCACCATCTACATTTGTTTTTCTTTTTCCTGATTTAGTTTCTATATAAGAAACTTTAAGAGCAGTTGTAAGCACACTCTCCCTAAGGACATGTAAAACAGATTATAGGATTATAAATAAAAGTTCTACGTATTTGAAGTCAAAGTGAATCAGAATGAAAAAGTGACCAGACGTAAATTTCAAAGCTCTTGCTAAGAATGTGATTATTTCATCAACAAATATATAATAAATTACTACTATGAGGCAAGAACTATACTAAGTATGAGAGCTATAATGATAAACAAGCTAAACATAACTAGCCCCTATCTATGTTACTAATTAGGGTATAGGAAAGGTAGCAAACAAAAGGAAAAGATCATTAAAGATGATGTAAGTAGCATAGATCAATAAAAAGGTTGCTGAGGTAGGAAAATCTTAAAGGAAAACTCAACTTTGAAATATGCCTTCAGGAAAAATTGCAAGTGACTAGCAATAAGACCTTAGTCTCACAGACTTT